TTAGTGTTTTCTATACAAAGAATCATGTCATCTGCAAAACATCACAATTTTAGTTCTTCATTCCCAGGTTGGATGCCTTTTAATTTTTTTCCCTTTCCTGATAGCTTTGGCCAGGACTTCCAATACTAGGTTGAATAACAGTGGTGAGAATGGGCATCCTTGTCTTGTTCCTGATCTTAGAGGAAAAGCTTTCAGTTTTTCACCATTAAGTATGATATTAGCTGAGGGTTTGTTATAGATGGTCTTTATTATGTTGAGATACTTTCCTTCTATACCCATTTGATTGAGGGTTTTCATCATAAATGGATGTTGTTTCTTGTCAAATGCTTTTTCTGCATCTATTGATGTGATCATATGATTTTTATCCTTGTTAATGTGGTATATCACATTGATTGATTTACATATGTTGAACCATCCTTGTGCCCCTGGAATGAACCCCACTTGATTGTGATGTATAATCTTTTTAATGTATTGGTGTATTCTAGTTGCTAGTATTTTGTTTAGGATTTTTGCATTTATGTTCATCTGAGATATTGGTCTGTAATTTTCTAGTGTGTTTCCCATGCCAGGTTTTGGTATCAGAGTAATGTTGGCCTCATAAAATGAGTTAGGAAGTATTGCCTCTTCTTCAATTTTTTGGAAGAGTTTGAGAAGGACAGGTATTAAATCATCTTTGAATGTTTGGTAGAATTCACTAGTGAAGCCACCTGGTCCTGGACTTTTAGTTTTTGATGACTGTTTCAATTTCCTTACTGTTTATCAGTCTATTTAGATTTTCTGGATCTTTGTAATTTCATCTTTTATAGCAAGGTTATATATTTCTAAGAACTTGTCCATTTTTTCTAGGTTCTCATTGGATTTGATGGCATACAGACTTGTAATGGCCCTTTGTATTTCTGTGGTGTCCATCATAACTTCTCTTTCATTTCTGATATCATTTATTTGAGGTTTTTCTCTTTTTTCCTTAGTGCGTCTAACCAGAGGTTTGTTAATTTTATTAATCTTTTCAAAGAATCAGCTCTTTGTTGCATTAATTTTTTATGTTGTCTATTGTCTTTTTTTCTGTTTTGTTTAATTCTGCTCTAATTTTTCTCTTTTCCTTTCTTCTACTAACTTTGGGGTTTGTTCTTCTTTTTCTAGTTCTTTAAGGTGACATGTTAGGTTGTTTATTTGGGATTTTTCTTGTTTCTTGAGATAGGCCTTTAATGATATAAACATCTCTCTTATTACTGCTTTTGCTGTATACCAAAAGTTTTGATATGTTGTATTGTCATTCTCATTTGTCTCTATGTATCTTTTGATCTCTTCTTTTATTTCTACTTTGACCCAGTCATTGTTTAGTAGCATGTTGTTTAACTCCACATATTCGTGGTTTTTCCCACTTTCTTTTTGCAGTTAATCTCCAGTTTCAAAACATTGTGGTTGGAGAATAGACTTGATATGATTTCAGTCTTCTTAAATTTGTTAAGACTAGCTTTGTGTCCTGACATGTGGTCTATCCTTGAGAATGTTCCATGTGCAAAAATGTATAATCTTGTGTTCTGGGATAAAAGGCTCTGTAAATACTGATCATGTACCTTTGGTCTAAGGAGTAATTTGAGGCTGATATTTCCTTACTGATTTTCTGTTTGGGTGATCTATCCATAGCTGTCAATGGTGTATTTAGGTCCCCTACTATAACTTTGTTTTT